TGGGTTTCCTTCTAGAAAGCAGAAAGGTTCCTAGAAAGAACTAACTGAGAGAAAGTAGTCCAAGAGGAACTACACAGAAAACAGCCAGATACATACTCACTCATCAACTAGCAAGGTCAACTTACACTGAAAACTTTGTTTGGCACAGGCTGAATATCTCTTACCTGAAATACTTGAGACCAGAACTGCTTCAAATTTCAGATTTTGGAATATTTGTATTATACTTACTGGTTGAGCATTCCAAACCAAAAAATCTGAAATCCGAAATGCTCCAACGAACCTCTCCTTTGAGCATCATGTAGATCAGGCATCCCCAAACTACGGCCTGCGCATGCGGCCCCCTGAGGCCATTTATCCGGCCCCTCGCCGCACTTCAGGAAGGGGCACCTCTTTCATTGGTGGTCAGTGAGAGGAGTACACTATGTGGCGGCCCTCCAATGGTCTGAGGGACAGTGAACTGGCCCCCTGTGTAAAAAGTTTGGGGACACATGATGTACATATTCAAAAAGTTTTAGATTTTGGAGCAGTTTGGGTTTTGAATGCTCAACCTGTATAACAGAAATTGGTCCAATTTTATAAAAACGTTTTAGCCAGGTATCAGGTGATACACATCTGTAATCTCAGCTTCCTGGGAGACTGAGGTGGGAGAACTGCTTGAGGCCAGACTAAGCAACATAGTGAAACCCTTATTTAAAAAAAGAAAAAAAAAAGCTAAACTATTCTCAGCTAAGCTAGCTTTTAAAAAAAAGTTTTCTTTATGGAAAAGAAAGCAAGTCAATTATAAGAAGAGAGAAATGCTCTAAGAATTATTTGCACACTATTCTAGCACAAGATGAAAACGGACAGTGTGAACCAACAGTATTGGAGCCCTGGATCTTTTCTTGCTCAAGTCTCAGTTTGGGCTTTGTTACCTTACAGTTGAGTTTCATTACTGGCTCATATCCAGCCTGGCCTACCTTCCTCTTTGCATTCCTTAGGGAATGGTAATGAGTTGGTAATGAAATACCTTTAGAGATTTCAGCACATTGAACTAAGATGCATATTAGAGTATTTGGTCATTAATATGTATGAAAAAGTTTATAGTGTCTTAGGGTCAAGGGCAGGCTGTAAGTATTTGGGAAGTTTATATATCTGTCTCCTAATCTGAGAAGTATACAATTTATTTTAATGGTATATATGTCCATTCTTGCATTGCTATAAAGAAATACCTGAGACTGGGTAATGTATAAAGTAAAGAGGTTTAACTGGCTCACAATTCCACAGGCTGTACAGGAAGCATGGTGGCATCAGCTTCCAGGGAGGCCTCAGGGAACTCATGGTAGAAGGCAAAGGGGGAGCCGACATTTCACAGGCTAGAGTAGGAGGAAGAGAGTGAGGGGGAGGTACTACACACTTGTAAACAACCAGATCTCATGATAACTCACTCACTCACCGTCATGAGAACAGAACTGAGGGGATGGTGCTAACCCATTCATGTGAACTCCACCTCCATCGTCCGTTCACCTAATACCAGTCTCTGCCTAGAACACTGGGGATTACATTTCAACATGAGATGAGAGCTGGGTGGCAACACAGATTCAAACCATATCAAATGGTGAATTATAGGTTAAAAAAAAAATCAACCTTGTGAACATTTAAAAATATCTGAGTCCTGAAAGTGTGTTTCTTGGGTCCTCAAAGCATAACACCTGTGGCTTGGAAGTATATAAAATTTAGGCTCCTCTTTCCTTTTCATTATTGTAAAGTCATAGAAAAAGCCAACTTAGAGCCATGCCCAGAATACAAAATCTGTTCAACAAGATTAGATTTGTCTTTTGTTACTTCTTTCTTCCTTTGTCTTCATTTTATAAACATATGCATGCACACAGCTTTTAAACAAGAGGCTATTGATTAGGAAACCAGTGTTGATTTGATGTAAGCAACGATCCTAAAAGTAGAAAATATTGTTTTTGTTTACTACAAATGTATGGACTCAAAACCAGCTGAACTGTTATCATTTCCCAAGAAAATTTATTTTTACTCAGCCTCTTTTCAGAGAAGACTGCTTAGAGTGAAGTTAGCAATTAGTAAGCTAAGAAATCAGACAAGAGCTATACTACCAAGCTACAAAAAATTACACTAAGCCACTAAAGTTAAATGTCATTAAAAAGTCCCTTTTACGGCCGGGCGCGGTGGCTCAAGCCTGTAATCCCAGCACTTTGGGAGGCCGAGACGGGTGGATCACGAGGTCAAGAGATCGAGACCATCCTAGTCAACATGGTGAAACCCCGTCTCTACTAAAAATACTAAAAATTAGCTGGGCATGGTGGCGTGTGCCTGTAATCCCAGCTACTCAGGAGGCTGAGGCAGGAGAATTGCCTGAACCCAGGAGGCGGAGGCTGCGGTGAGCCGAGATCGCGCCATTGCACTCCAGCCTGGGCAACAAGAGCGAAACTCCGTCTCAAAAAAAAAAAAAAAAAAGTCCCTTTTACATTCTAGTCTATTGACAGGCATTGTGTTGGGAACTTGGTAGAGAAAAGAACATTCCAAAAACATTTTAAAAGGTTTATGGACAAAAATATATCTTGTAATTTTTCCAGTATGTAATTATCATCACGTTTTCCCCCACTGATTTCTAAAGACCTGTATACTGATATTAAAAACTAAAATTTTGTGCCATTCAAGATGTTCATTTCCCTTTTCTACAATCTTATTATAAACAAAACTTTTGTGATACATTAGCTCATCACTGTAGTAAAAATGAAACTGTGTATTTGTGAGAGCTAAGAACTGACACTAGATAGAGATTATATGACTCTACTTTTTCTTATAAAGATTAAATTGATATTTTAATCTATAAAACCTTGACAATACATAGGTTATTAAATGAAATAGTTCTAATTCAAATTGAGAATTGCCTTTTTACATTGAAGGCAACTATGATTTCAAAAACAAAGGACTTATTCCATGTTCATATACTGAGATATTATCAGAGCTAAAATGTTAAGAGATAGTACCTGAGGAAATGTTTGTATATTCTCTTTATAATGACTAAGAACCAGTTAAAAGGCTTATTTTAAAAAGTTAGAAAAGCAATTAAGAAATTTTAGGGTTCAGTGGAAAAATTCTACCATGGCATGAACTCCATTAATGATGATTTGCCAGGAAACACTGGTTAGAAAAAGCTAGCTGAGAGAACGGCAAGGATAACCAATTAGAATTAGAACATCAGCCCTACTGATATAAAATAACTATTGACAGTAGATCAATGGTATTAAGATCACATATACTTGAATTAGACTGCCAGGCTTTAAACCCAGGACTGTCAATGATGAGCTATGTGATTTTAAACTCTATTTCTTAGGTTTCCAATGTTGGTTCTATCACATTTAAAATAGATAATGATGGTAGTCATTCCAAAGCTATCTTGAGTTAAATAAGATAATCCACATAAGGGATTTAGCACAGTGCCGGGCACATTAACAACAGCTTGCTATCACCACTACAGCAACCCTAGGCAGTCCAACTATCTGGCTCTGCTTCCTTAAATGTAAAATACAGAGTTTGGACTAGATAATTTCTAATGTTTTTACCCATCTAAAATTAAAATTCTACAATGTATCAACAATATAGAAACCAACTATTTCCAAAGACTATTTCCAAAGAACATAAAGTTAGATTTTCACTCTAGCATGATTAATATAAGTACTGGAAAAGAAACATTTTAAAGTTATCCTTTTATTTTTATTTTTTAGAGATGGGCTCTTGATTAATATAAGTACTGCAAAAGAAATATTGTAAAGTTATCCTTTTATTTTTATTTTTTATTTTTTAGAGACGGGGTCTTGCTATGTTGCCTAAACTGGACTTGAACTCCTAGGCTCAAGCAATCCTCTCACCTGAACCTCTGGAGTAGCTGAAACTGTAGGGAATACATACACTACTGTTCCTGTTATGTCATCTTTTGAAATTAGTTATAATCACTACATTTATTAAAGCCAAAGTTATAGACATCCTATGTAATCCACAGGAAATCCATAATTTTCCATCACATACTGTTTGGTGACTACGAATTCTGAATAACAAGTCCTAACAGGAATTTCAAGGTATATAATCCCCTCAGTATATATTTTTTAAACTCTAAGAACATTTCATACCCCAAACTTAGTAAACAGAAAACAAAGCTCATAAAAATTTTAATATATAATTCAGAAAAAGGGAAATAACTGTTTTGAAACTGTCCAAAATCTAGAGGTTTAATAAAGTCTCTCTACCGATACAACTCAAAATTCAAATTACAGGCCATTTTTTTTTTGCAGGGATATATATATATATATATATTAATATGACTCAAATAGCTAAACAAAAAATAAATAAATAAATTTTAATATGACAGCACTGACTGCACCAACCCAAGTAAATACTTCCAAAAAGGTTTGATTTTTTTCCTTTTGGATTTGGAGAACTTTTCTTCATATATTTTAGGGACACTATTAAAAAAATACTAAAAATCTTTTCAGTTTTTAAAACTTTCTAACAGTGTGTGTGATCACTGAAAGGAAGTTAATCTAAAAATTTTTAAATATTTTACCAGCTAAGATGGTACTGCTCAGAAAAGAGTTCAGGCTCATCTCGCTCGAATACTTGCTAACAGGCTCGAAAGAATAAACAAATTGTTGTTACTTCTTAATATGAAAAACACACGTCTGCTAAAATCTGACAGTTCAATAAGCTCCCAAACCAGAAAACACATTTCCCAGTCAACACTCATACTTATTTCCGTATTAGGGAAAATCGGGTTGTTTCAGGGGTCTTTAAAAAACGAAGATTTCTCTTAAATTCATAACTGTTAACTGCGCCTTCATTTCCAGAAACCTTACCTTTAACAAATCTCTACACTATTCATACTTAGCACAATTTCAAGTCATTCAAGATACTTTTATTTTACCTTATAACCAGTTCAGCATAAAGTAGCTGTGTTAAATTCATGCCATAAAATCAAAACTATACTAAGTCCTTACCCTCAATATTTAGCTCAAAACAAATGTGGCAGAAGGAGAGTGTTTCTTTGTCTGTTCCCAGTTTACAAACACTGCAAATGTTGTCATCATTCAAATCAATGTTTACAAACTGCTCCTCTTCGTTCATAGTTCCCCTATTAAGAAACAGAAAGGGATAGTTACACCATTTCAAGAACCGGCCTTTAGGGTAGTTCCCTTTACTGGGAACTTCTAGGAAACAAGGATGCTGTTCAGCTCATCTAAAGAAAAGCCCCATCAAACAAGCATCGCCATTATGCACTTCAACACTGCACTCTGTGGGAAGACACACAGCTAGTAACACTTAAAGCCAGGCCACAGGTGACACTATGCCCGTGTCTTTTTTGTTCGATAGTTGAAGCGGTTTGTGGGCATTCTAGTCCTCCTCCTTCGTCCCCCAACATCGAATAATCAGAGAGCTTAGCAGCGAGGCCTTTTCAAGCTACCAGGTTCTGTCAACCTAGTTAACGCTGTGAGAAACAGGAAAAACGACCTGCACGGGACACCGCCAACTTCACTGGGGGAACCTTAGATGCGTCTCGCGAACTCGGAGTTGCGAAGCTTCGCATCCGACCGAGGTCGGCAGCAAAAAATGCACGTGGGTACCGAACACCCGAGGAGGGCGTCCCCGTCCGGGGCAACTACACCGAAGGCCGAGCGGCGGCTTCACGGTCCGGGCACCGCCAGAGGGGCCCAAGCCGGAGCTGGAGGAGCCGCGGACTGGAGCCCGGCGGGCGGGAGCGCCTCGTCCCTTCGCTCTGGGATTCCTCCCTAAAGAAGGAAAGCGTCCGAAGGCCACGGCGGCCGGTCCGCCCAGCCTCAGCATTTCGGGGAGCCGGGTCCTCGTTTGGCCTCCAGCGTTGGGGGCGCGCTGCTGCCCCCAGGGAGTAGAGGACCCGCATCCGTCTCTCCGTCGGTCCGTCCGTCGGGGCGCCTGGCGCGCAGCAGCGCGAGGGGCCACGGGGCTCGGAACTCGAAGGAAACGGGACGATGGAACAGCGCGTCTGGGCTCAGGATGGACGGGAGAAGGGGTGCGGGGTCTTTACCGTCCGGCTTCGCGGGCCACCACTGCCGTTCCGCACGGCTCGGGTTCCTCCAACTATTGTTTCCGGCCGCAGCGGAGACGGCTGTAGCGGAGGCCGCCGCCGCGCGCCTAGCCCCGCCCTCTCCCGCCGGCGCCATCCGGTGAAGGCTGTGGGGAGGGGGTTGCGGCCGTGCGCACACCCGCGCTCTCGCAGGGCTGCTATGGGCCCGCTCCTTCGCTCTTTCACCTTCGCCGCACCTTCGACTCGAGCCCTCCTGTGACCCCGTGTGTCCTGGCCGGAGTTTCTTACGGTTCTCTGGAACGTAGCTCCTCACATCCCCCTCCTCGAGGTGAGTAGATAGACGAGTCCGTGCCGCCTCTCCCTTCAGCGTAGTGCAAACTACTGCCCCGGGGCGGGGGCCGCGGCGGCGCGGGCAGGAAGGCTGCGGGTGGACGGGAGAAACGGAGGTGCGTGGGTGGCTCTTCAACTTCGGGAGAAAGAAGCAGAATACTCTCAGTGAACTTGTGGTTAAGTGCCAGCTGAAATAGGTAATGAGGAAAAGTTCATATTCAGGTGTCGTGATAGAGGCGTAATTTCAAATACAGAAGCTTTTTAAATAGATTTGTTGTGGGGTACCCCTTCCCCAATATGGTACATCCCTCAACGCCCACGGGGAAAATCCCGGAGCCCCACCTCTTATTTTTGGGTCCTGCTTGGTTTTCAAAACACTTTGCTTGACTTTTATTTAAGGTATTTTTTTATTTTAGGGTGTGGTTTCTGCAGTATTTTCATTTACATTTTCTGTCGTAATCCTCACAGTAACCTACAGAGGAGAAACAGAAACTATTCTCTCATTTTGCAGCCTAGGAGTGATTGACCCAAGTTACCACAGTTGGTTAGGGACCGGCTGGGATTTGAACCCAAGGCTACTGACCTAAGATCAAAGTTGTTTTCCACAGCGTCATATGCACATGTTCCGGTTGCACTCAAATAGAAAGAGGGCTGGCCTGTCAATCTACATGTAGGCATTCTTGAACTGATGGCAGGAATGGACTCCATAAATCTTGGAAACTTCTGGGCCAAATTAGCTCTCTATGCCATCTGTGCCTCAGAGGAGCGATCTGTGTCCTTGCTACCTAAATTGTAGTAGATGAACCAGCAACATTGACGTTATCCATTTTCCTATTAGAGATGTAGACTCTGAGGTCCCACCCAAGATTTTCTAAATTAACACCTGCGCTTTAACAAGACCCCCAGGAGAGTCCTATGTTCATCGAAGTTTGGGATGCACTGATTGAAATAGAAAAGCCTGTGCTTTTCCTCTTCGAATTTCTCATTCTAGGTAACTACAACTAAAATATCTTGCATCTTGGATTCTACCCATCTTTTCAATAAAAAGGATTCTTTAAAAAAGGACTCTTAAAACGATTCATTAAAGTGTTCTAAAATCACTAAATTTTAAAAATTCAAACAAGTTCTTTTCAATTCTCAGAATTGTCTTCCTTTCTATGGCATTTCACATTGTTTACTTGCTATTCTTAAAACTCTTGTTGGATTTTTAAAAAATATCAAAGAATAATTTACAGAAATAAAATTTTCCCATTTTAAAAATGCTCTTTGACAAATACATACACTTGAGTAACCACTACCCAGTGAAAATATAGAATATTTCCACAGCCCCAACATTTCTTTCTGTTCGTTTCCTGTCAAGCTCCTCCAACATGGGACCTAATTTATATGACTGTTTTAGTTTTGTCTGTTATAGGAATTCATAGACATGGAATTAAGCAGCGTGTGTTCATTTGTGATTGGCTATTGTCATTCAGCATATTTTTTTGAGATTCACAATGGTGTGTTAAAACAGTGGTTTCTTTTTACTGCTTATCTTAGTCAGTTTATGTTCCTATAAAGGAACACCCAAAGCTGGATAATTTATATAGAAAAGAGGTATATTTGGCTCATGGTTCTGAAGGCGGTACAGGAAGCCTGGTGCCAGCATCTGCTTCTGGTGACGGCCTCTGGCTGCTTCCATTCGTGATAGGAGGTAAAGGAGAGCCAGTGTGTGCAGACATCACATGGCCAGAGAGCAAGCAAGAGAAAGAGGAGGAGATTCCAAGCTCGCTCTCTCTCTCTCTTTTTTTAAACAAACAAAACAAAATAAAACAAAACAATTAGTGTCATTGGGAATTAAGAGGGGGAATTGACTTACTCCCTAGGGAATGGCACCAAGCCATTCATCAGGGATCCATACCTAAGATCCAGCCCCACTGTTCCCAGTCCGCAGCCAGGCTTCACCTCCAACACTGGGGATCAGTGGGGCATGGTGGCTCACACCGGTAGTCTTAGCATTTTGGGAGGCTGATTTGGGCTGATCATTTGAGCCTGGGTGTTCAAGACCAGCCTGGGAAACATCGTGAAACCCATCTCTACCAAAAAAAAAAAAAAAAAAAAAACCAAACAAAAAAAACCCAGAAAAATTAGGCAGGAATGTTGTTGCATGCCACTATACCCCATCCGGGGTAACAGAGTAAGACTCTGTCTCAGAAAAAAAAAAAAAGATGGCCACATCCTAATTCTTGGGTCTTTTGAATATGTATGTAACATAGCAAAAGAGACCTTGTAGATATAATTAAGGTTATAGACTTTAAAATAGATTATTCTGGATTATTGGGGTGAGCCCAGTCTAATCACATGAGCCCTTATAACCAGAGGCTCTGTGTCCACCCAAGTCGCATGTTGAATTCTAATTCCCAATGTTGAGGGAAGAACCCTGTGGGAGGTGATTAAATCATGGGGGTGGGTTTCCTCCTTGCTGTTCTCCTGATAGTGAATTCTCATGATATATGGTTGTTTGAAAGTGTGTAGCGTATCCCTTTGTGCTCTCTCTCTCCTGTCACTGTGTGAAGATGTGCTTGCTTCCCTTTCACCTTCCACCAGTGATTGTAAGTTTCTTGTAGTCTCTCCAGCCTCCTGTATAGCCTGCAGTACTGTGTGTCGATTAAACATCTTTTCCTTATAAACTACCCACAGTAGGCCGGCCACTGTGGCTCATGCCTGTAATCCTAGCACTTTGTGAGGCAGAAGTGGGTGGATCACCTGAGGTCAGGAGTTCAAGACCAGCCTGGCCATCATGGTGAAACCCCACCTTAAAAAAAAAAAAAAAAAAGTAAACTACCCACAGTGTCAGGTAGTTTCTAGTAGCAATGCGAGAACAGACTAATACAAGTACTGAGTTGTGGGTTGTTCAGTTTTCCAACACTTTGCAGTGATAGCTGATTAATACAGTGGGATTCTGAATGGCCAAATGTAATTCATATGCTCATCTCTGAATCAGATACAATTGCTAGTACTTTAATTGGCTAGGCTGTGTTAGATTTCCAGCTCTTCCTCCATTCTCAAATAATTGAAGTTGGCTCAGGAGTGGGGGTATAGGAATTAAAATTCGATCTCAAGATATGGAAGACAAGTCTCCCTAAAGGAAAGTGGTTGGTTTTACCAGAGGAAGGGAATTGGTTTGAAACCTATTAAACAGGAAAAATCTGTTGTAATCTAATCTGGTACTCTTTCTACATCATTATTTTCTGCTAAATTTTAAGCTGATTGTATGCAGAAACTTGGCCTTACTCATCTTATATTTACTTTAACACTTACAAATTATAATATCTTGTAATTTGTGTTTGAATCAAGTAGGATTAAGTTTCACTGCAAGTAATATAAAAACCCCAAGTAACAGTTATGTAAAAAGTTGGACATGGGCAGACACTCTGGCTCATGCTTGTAATCCTAGCACTTTTGGAAGCCTGAGGCAGGAGGATCACTTGAGCCCAAGAATTCATGGGGGACATGGTGAACATGGTGAAATCCTGTCTCTACAAAAGACCCAAAAAAATTAGCTGAGTGTCGTGGCACAGGTCTATAGTATCAGCTACTCAAGAAGCTGAGGTGGGAGGATTGCTTGAGCACAGGAGGTCAAAGCTGCGGTTAGCTGAGATCATGTCATGTTTCCTGGGCAACAGAGTCTCAAAAAAAAGTTGGACTTAATTTTTTTCTCTTATGTTGAAGTCTAGAATGGAGCAGGTAGGGTGAGTGTCGTGGCTCTGATCTTCAAAGTTTTTAGGCATGCCTGTTGCTTTCTTTTTTTTTCCCCTTGAGACAGAGTTGCTCTGTCACCCAGGCTGGAGTGCAGAGGTGCAATCTTGATTCACTGCAATCTTGGTCTTCTGGACTCAAGCTGAGGTGGGGACTTGGGGACCACATTTTATTCCAGATGTCCATATGACCAGCTAAAAGTCAGGGCTTCTAAAAGAGGGAACATAGATATTGGAATTTACAGCAAGCAATCTCTGCTGCAGTGCTCAATATTTATTGAGTGAAAGAATCACATTAATTAAAATTGATTAATAAACACTGACAATTACATTTTTAATCTTAGATGCAATGCCGACTTAAAGAATATATTTGTGGTTAAAATACCTATCTAAACTATTTCTTATTTTTACTAATGGAGAAAGCAATATATCTTTGTTTTAAAATAATTTGTTTAGGCCAGGCATGGTGGCTCATGCCTGCAATCCCAGCACTTTGGGAGGCCCAGCTGGGTGGATCATTTGCGGTCAGGAGTTTGAGACCAGCCTGACTAACCTGGTGAAACCCTGTCTCTACTAAAACTACAAAAAATTAGCTGGGTGTGGTGGTGTGTACCTGTAATCCCAGCTACTTGGGATGCTGACGCACAAAAACAGTTAAACCTGGGAGGTGAAGATTGCAGTGAGCTGAGTCGTGCCTCTGAACTCCAGCCTGGGTGACAGAAAGACACTGTCTCAATAATAATAATAATAATAATTGTTTCAAATATTTTTGATTTCCACACATGTTGAACAATTTGGCAGGCTTATTTCAGTTTTATTCATCCATTTTCTAAAAGTCTAATCCTTATAAGATTCTGCACAGGGTGGCTAGTGCTGCTCTTCTGGAATCTGTAACCCTGAAGAAAATATCACTCTTAAAATTATGGCTCCTCTTAAGCTTAGACAAGCATTCCCTACAAAAGTTTGAGATACAGATATTTGCATTAAAGGGATTTATTACCTATAGTTTTAGTAA